GCATGCTTTGGTTCTAAAAGGAGAGGAAGTCCTGCGGTTCACGTCAAGTATATATCAACCTACGAAGAAAAAAGGAGACACAACCAAACAAGATTCAAGATTAAAACTTAACAAGAGGACTGTGAGTAAAGTGGCAGTAATGCAACATTACAAATCCCCGCTGATGTGAAAAAAACCTGCAACAAAATTGTGTTTGAAGAACTTTGAAGATGTATGTAGAAGCATACCTCTGCTGAAGATCAGACAGTCTGGCCTGCATGAACTTAATGGACAAGTCATGGAGTCGATGATCTGCTTAATTGCATGCAGGTCAGGTTATGTACTGCATTTGTGTTTTGATGCCTGTATTTAGTCAACTGTTGAATTTCACGCTGAACTAGATATTTTATAAATAGGAACGCTAATAGAAATTAATTTCTAAGGTTAAATAAATAAAGCCCCTGATCCAGAGAACCCGACCAGCTCTCATTTTAAAGGCTTAGACCAAAAGTCCCCCAACAACCAGTTTGTCCAACAATAAAAGTCCTACACCGGTGGTCCTGGTGCTGGTGTTTTGTTATTCATATTTTTCTGGTTTACTTAAAAGATAAACACTAAAACTGTAACATTAAGGTGCAGCAAATCTCCAGAATGTTGCTGTAGAAGAATCAATGCAGAACCTGGTTTCATATTTTAATACTGAACTAACATATTTTTAACCATTGTTTTATTGTCCCCAAGAGGCAGTAAAGCAGCTACATCAATTCAGTGACAAATGGGAATAGTTAGTGTGTAAACAAATGTTTAACATTAGCCAAGATATCACAAATCTCTTTAAGTGAATGTGTACAATTAGGACACAAAACTGTCATATGTTCAAAGACGTTTATTTAACTGCAAGGCACATGAGATCAGACAAAGACATGTGTGCTCAATACTCCTCCCCTTCGTAATCTTCGTCCTCCAAACTGTCAGCTCCCACCTCCTCATAATCTTTCTCAAGTGCTGCCATGTCTTCTCTGGCCTCAGAGAACTCTCCCTCCTCCATTCCTTCACCCACATACCAGTGAACAAAGGCACGTTTGGCGTACATCAGGTCAAACTTGTGGTCGAGCCGAGCCCAGGCCTCTGCAATGGCGGTGGTGTTGCTCAGCATGCACACCGCCCTCTGGACCTTGGCCAAGTCTCCACCAGGAACCACAGTGGGAGGCTGGTAGTTGATGCCAACCTTGAATCCAGTCGGACACCAGTCCACGAACTGGATGGAGCGCTTGGTCTTGATTGTGACGATGGCAGCGTTCACGTCTTTGGGCACCACATCACCACGATACAGAAGGCAGCAGGCCATGTATTTGCCATGACGGGGGTCACATTTCACCATCTGATTGGCTGGTTCGAAGCAGGCATTGGTGATCTCAGCCACTGTTATCTGCTCGTGGTAGGCCTTCTCTGCAGAGACGACAGGGGCGTAGGTGACCACAGGGAAATGGATACGAGGATATGGCACCAGGTTGGTCTGGAATTCTGTCAGATCAACATTGAGGGCACCATCAAATCTGAGGGAGGCAGTGATGGAAGACACAATCTGACTGATCAGCCTGTTGAGGTTGACGTAGGTAGGACGCTCAATGTCCAGGTTTTTGCGGCAGATGTCAAAGATGGCCTCATTGTCCACCATGAAGGCACAGTCTGAGTGCTCCAGAGTGGTGTGGGTGGTCAGAATGGAGTTGTATGGTTCAACCACAGCAGTGGACACCTGGGGAGCTGGGTAGATGGAGAACTCGAGTTTGGACTTTTTGCCATAGTCGACTGACAGGCGCTCCATCAGCAAGGAGGTGAAGCCAGAGCCGGTGCCACCTCCAAAACTGTGGAAAACCAGGAAGCCCTGCAGACCAGTGCACTGGTCAGACTGGAGAGAGAAAACGAGACACAGATAAAGACAAGTTAGAAATTAGAATGCATTTGACATTTTGAGTTCAATAAAAGAAAATTAAATAAGTTACTTACCAGTTTTCTTATCCTTTCCAGCACCTGATCAATTACCTCTTTGCCAATGGTATAGTGTCCACGGGCATAGTTATTGGCAGCATCCTCCTTACCAGTGATCAGCTGTTCAGGGTGAAACAGAGAGCGGTAGATCCCAGTGCGAACCTCATCTGTAGGGGAAAAAATAAAATAAAAATACAAGACTTAGATGTAAAATTCCAAAAACTGCAACACTTAACTAATCCTGAATCAAGCTTGAAATAAAACAAACACAGATGATGACACCAACCAATGACTGTGGGCTCCAGGTCGACAAAAACAGCTCTGGGGACATGCTTTCCTGATCCAGTCTCACTGAAGAAGGTGTTGAAGGAATCATCTCCTCCTCCACTAGTCTTTTCACTGGACATCTGCCCATCTGGCTGGATCCCATGTTCCAGACAGTAAAGCTCCCAGCAGGTATTGCCAATCTGGACTCCAGCCTGACCAACGTGTATGGAGATGCACTCACGCTGTGGAGAAAAAAAAAAGAGGCATGCATTGATTCTCTTCATGTTGTTTTCAAATTAAAATTAAAAAGTGGTTTTTAAACGTAACATGTTTGAGTCTGACCTGGAGCTACTGCATGGTATGCAAAGAGTGAACAGGGCTCTTTTGTTATGGACTAGATACCAGTATCATGACTCACATCACCTGACAGATGTTGCAGCCATTAACTAACATTAGAGAAAACCTTTCAGAGACAAATACTAAATAGATATACCAGAGGTACAGTCTTCATAAATATGCTAAGCAAAGAACAGTAATGTCCACCTACAAAAACTTTACCTCAAAGTTAAGAGTCAAAAAGTGGAGTCAGGTTTCAAAACTTTGCGGTTGGTGACGCATGAAGTCTGAACAAACAGCTCCACCTCTGGAAAATGAAATCAGATTTAAGGAAGGGCATAGTGATAGATTTTGTACAAAAATCAATTTTATTCAGTTCATAAAAAGGAACAAATCAGACTTAAGAGGATTCATATATTAAAAAAAATAGTTTTTTTTTTTACTTTTAAAGTAATTGACAATGTTTTAGCTGAAAGATGCATAATCTACTTAAAAAACAACAACAATAAAGACTGTTCGACTGCTGAACTGTGAAAATAATTGTACTTGCTCGTTCTACTTCCTTATCAGAAACACACGTCGATTAATCGTTTGAAGAAAAACAAGTACAGGAAACAGTAGACAGCCACAACCACCAGAATTTGTTCTTGGACATTTACAGTACTTTACTTAAGTAGGCCCAAATAACATACCTCGTGTAAACCCAAATTCACCGCCCTATATGAACATAAGTTTGATACGTTTTTTTTTTTGGGGCCTAAAATAAAAACTACTTTTACGGGCGTGTTTAAAAAGTTATTAACGCTTTGTATCATTGGTAATACGTAGAGAAGAAAAATAAAAGAGTTATTTTACACTTACCATGTTTTTCTGAGATTTAGGTAAAACTTTCTTACTCGACAAAAACCACGGCTCCTGCGTAAGACGTAAGTGAGGAAATGGCGGTGGGAGCAGTTTTTATAGTCTTTAAGTGGGCGGGAAGCCTAGAATGTGATTGGTCAAAATGTGACAGGCCACGTTTTCTATTGGTTGAATTGGAATAATGCTCTTCCGCAAACTCAACCGAAGTTAGTAATGGTCACATGAGACGTTCAAGGGTGTCGGCTTTTTAACCCAGAAGTGCCCACACAAAGCATTATTGTGAATTTTTCCCTCCTTTGTATAACAAGACATTTGACTGCGCCAAATTGTGTGCCAACTATGCAACTTCGGACGAAAAAAAAGTTTTATTAGTTTGGTCATGTTTGCAAACAATAACTGATTTTGGAATTATTTTAGTTAGGGTTGTGATTTAGGGTTCACGAATAATAATAAAACCAAGGACACATTACATGGTAGGCATGGTGAAAAGAAAAATATCTGTGGTTATTGCTCCTCCAGACCTCCTGGCGGCGGGATGTGGATTTAACCCGTAGAGTCATGGGGCGGATGTGCGTCCGTGCATTTCCGCTTATTCAGTGCACGCTTTCCTTCCGCGGTTTTGTATAACGCGCATCTTACGATAGACTGAAATCTTACAAAAGACAAAGAAATCATGAGTAAAGCTCACCCGCCTGAATTGAAAAAGTAAGTCTAAATTATAAATAATTTTCCTTTCCCAATGAAAGCTCTTCTTTAGTGTAAATATTCTCCTATCTCCTATTTCTAAGTATTTATCGCTTCTCTGCTGTCCGTAAATGCTAATAGGCTAATAGCAGCTACCCATTATAGCTTGGGAGTTGTAAATCTGGCTATGTACTCATTAACGCTGTATGTTTTTATTTTGTTTTTTGTAGATTCATGGATAAGAAACTTTCGTGTAAGTATCTCTAATTAAAAAATAAATAATACATTGACCATGGGCTTTGAAAACTTTAATGTGTTTTGAGAGTTTAACTACATTTTATGAATATTTTGGTTAGCAACAAAAAATCAATGATTGAACAGTTGTTCATATGCATTTTGAAGTTTGTTTAAGAAAATAAGTGCCCTGTTTTGTCTGTACTCATTTTAACTGAGATTTAAGTTACCTCCACTCAGCGACTCATGTGAACATTATATAGTATGGTTTGTGGCAGGGAATCACCAAAACTGCAGTCAAATGTTCAGTCTTCTGATCTAATGAGGTACTACAATCATTGTAGTTTCACCCCTAATCAAGTGGTGTTTTTTGCTCACTTATGAATGAAAAGTGCATATCAGGTTCAGTCACAATTTTGCTAACAGCTTACTTCAAATAGAGGTGCATCAGCTTGACTAAACAATTAAATAATAACACAAATCCAGAGAGTATAGTGAAATGGTGGGTGTTCTTTACGGCTGCGCTTTTTTGTCTTTTAGTAAAGCTGAATGGAGGCAGACATGTACAGGGCATCCTACGAGGGTTTGACCCCTTCATGAACCTGGTGGTGGATGACTCTGTGGAGATGGGCCCAGGAGGACAACAGAATGTCATCGGAATGGTGGTCAGTACTTTTGCAGGCAGATTTGTGGTTGTGATGGATATTAACTCTATTAAATAAAAGAATGATGCTGTTGAACAAGTTGTCTTTCTGTTTGGCATTTGCCGTTTTATTCCATGTGGTTCAAAGCGTAATGAACAGTGAAATATCTTGGATACTTGCTTGTGTCAATCCTTGCAACCTTATAATCTGAAAATGTTATACATCCAAACATTTGTAATGCTTTAAAATGGATTGGGGGACCTTGTGTTTCAGCAATTTTATTTTATGCAGTTTTAAAGGTTTTATATTGATGTGACGCTGGTGTCTTTTCTTACAGGTTATCAGGGGAAACAGCATCATAATGGTAGAAGCTCTGGAGCGAGTATGAAAGAAGGAAATGGCTGAAGATGAGGAGAAAGACCCACATTTTTTTACATTGTGTTCTTTTGGTTTTGGGGGGGGGGGTTAAGAATGGTATTTGAAATGTAAGATGTCTGATTTATACAGACTAAATGTTTTATTTTGATTCCTTTCATGTTAATAAAGGATTTTTCTCATATTTCTGTTGTAGATTTCGTTATAGATGCATTGCAGTAATAAGTAGTAATTAGTTAAACGTTTAATTATTCAATGGCAGTGTTATGAACAGTAGCACACCTAATGTGAGAGAAAAGATAAGTTAATCAGCATTACAGAGCCAAGCATAAAAAATCTTGTTTAAAGTTTTGAAGATCTGTTTGTAGGACTAAAGTGTATGGATGGTGTTGTCTTTCAGCAAACAAACATCTGAGCCATGCTTACAAAACGTACAGTGTGCTATAAATACCGTATCAAACCATCAACTTTTTAATTTTAGGTTAGATGCATTCACCGAAATACAAATACACAGCTAAACATATATTAACCCTATATGGTTTAAATTAAATTGTTAATGCTTTCAGGACTGAAACATGTTTAATGTGTACTTGAGATAGATAACTAAATAGACAGACAGCTAGATAGAGTAAAACTAGACCATCAATAGCAGCACATGATCAAAAGAAAACAACCTGAACACTTGCTAGATTGTTACAGCTGATTGGTGTAACGTTATACTGTGCAATGTTATTAAATACTATATACAGATATACTATAATACGAGACGAGAGATTAAAAAAAAAGTTGTTTAATATCAGTGTGGTTGTGGAAGTCAAAGCTTTTATTTGGGAAACTTTTCCTTGGCGGTACCAACAGAGGGCGATATTACGCTTATGTAGTAGTGCCCTCTTATTCTGAAAGGTAATTGTCGTCATAGATGCACAAGCTTATTGACGTTGCATAGTCGTGGTCTGACGTTATGTGGAAAGTGGCAATGTCGGAGGAGATTGGGAAGGCACTACACTCGGTGGTGGAGCGGGTGAACCAGGCGGCGGCACGCCGGCCAAAGGTAACCACAGCCCGGCATGCGGCTTTCGATGTACATCCGCCGTCTTTAAATAGAGACGTTAGCCAGCTGCACGACGCGTTATGTAAGAAGACAGCAAAACAGTCAACCTTTGGACGGAGGCTGTTGATGGAGTATGAGTATTTATTTATAACATGCACGTTTCATTAGTGAAGATAATTGAGGTTAACATGTTTTTGCTGCGTTTGTCATACGTGTGGGTTTAGTGTCCATGCTGTCACGAACGTAGTCCGGCTTATTTTATGCTTTCTACCAAGCACTCTCCAAATGTTCAAGAGCAGGGACGAAATTAGTCATTTTAGTGTCGGGGCGAGGGATGTACAGTGTAAGTCCACTGGTTAAAAGACCTACAATTTGGTAATATCGATTGGAAAATAAAGCCACTATAGTAGAGAATACAATGGTATGTCAAGGGGAATAAAACAACGTTTGAAAACAATGGAAAGCAGCGTGGTGGAGTTGATGAAGAATGGATACTTACATACAAAAAAGACCAAACTTTTTTTTTCGACTTTTTGTTCCCTGTGACATGTGTGAGGTTTCAAAAGTCATTTGAGTTTTGGAACAGACACAAGAAGTTACGTCAACATCTGTTGCAAAGCCTTAAAACTTTGTACAGCTACTTATTCAAGTTTGTTTAAGGTATAATGAAAAAACTTGTCGGCGCTGTTTGGGGACTTCTGAGAGATGAGTCTTAATTTGTTTTAGTCATTGGAATTATACAACGTCTGCCTTAAAACTTTATGATTCACCATCAAATTTGTACCTTAGCTAGGTTAGGAAGAACCAATAAAGATATAATTTTTACACCATCTGTTAAATTCCTGAAATATTAATTCTATTCTATTACAATAGGTTGCTCACAGAGCCTCTTTCTTGTACCAATTGGGCCACACTGTGGATTCTGACTGACTCCTCTCCTACGTATATCTTATGCGTGATTTATGCCCAGATGAAAAAAAAAAAAGACTCAGCTTTGTCCTTCCACAGACTCTGCCAGCTGTGCCCCCCCGCCTCGTAGCTGTCAGCAAGACCAAACCTCCAGAGATGGTGGTGGAGGCATACAGGCAAGGGCAACGCAACTTTGGAGAAAACTACGTAAGTGTTGTCTCTCCTCTGCATCAGTAAAGACTTGGCAGAAATCTCCCAGCATGAAGGTGAAGGTAGCGCTACAAGAGGAGACTTGTAATAGGTGGACTCCATTTTGTAAATGGTGTCTATTTTGACACCGACTTTGCTCCTTGTTTTCTGCTAGGTGAATGAACTGGTGGATAAGGCCTCAGATCCTCTGGTGAGTCATTGTCATGGTTGTAACTTGAGAAAAATGTGAGTTTGATATGATGGGGCGATATGACATATATATAATAACTAAAGTAAGTAAGTGAATAGATAAGACATTTTAAAATCTTTCTTCAAAAGGTTGTAACATAAAAGTGAAAAAAAAAATGTAGAAACTACACCTTCCCTAATCTACTGAAATAAAACATATATTTTATACTAATTACATTTTTAAAATATTTCTACCACAACTTAAAGAGGAGTTGGGACTTTTCATGTGATGGTAATTAACTACTTAACATTTGTAAATAGTGGTTGGATTTTTTTTACATTGTTTACAACAGTAAACAAAACCATTTTTTAGGGAAACAGAGTAATTTAATCTGGGAGAATGTGGATAGAGGCCCCTGCACACCACAGGCTGAGTCATCTTTTTTTTGCAGAATTGACCAATCAGGATGCAGGCACGCATACAGTACAAAACAACATGGACTCCCAGGAGGATTTACTGTCTGCGTTGTTTTGGTTATACTGAGACTGCAGCTTTTACTTTATGCTGTTGTCATTTTCTTTGTGATATGAAATATATATATATATATACACACACACACACGCATATATATACGTAGTATATATATGTCAGTCCTGTGCGTTCATTATTTTTTACAACACATATTCTTTGTCATCCAGATTTTAGAGTCGTGTCCAGAGATCAAGTGGCACTTCATTGGTCATCTACAAAAGAATAATGTCAACAAACTTCTGGGTAAGTGTCTCTTCCTGAAGCCTCATGTTTACAGGTCGACATTAGTCTTGATCGTTGTCTTTCTGGTCCCAGCCGTCCCTAATCTTTTCCTCGTGGAGACGGTGGACTCCCCGAAATTGGCCGACAAAGTCAACAGCTCGTGGCAGCGGATCAGAGGGTCAAGTGCCCAGAGGTTAAAGGTGATGGTGCAGATCAACACCAGTGGGGAACAAAGTCAGTAGTACTTTTTGTATTTGTAAAAAAAACCTGTTCTATGTACAAAGAGACAGTTGTTGACACGGCTTTTCTTAATTTCGGTTACAGGTAAACACGGACTCCCGCCAGAGGAGACGGTC